TGCCTGAGAGAGCAGCCAAAACCCCTCTTCCCACTCTCTGCTTCTTTCTTCAGGGGCTCCTAGAAACCCCATCCTCCCTCTTCTCCTCCCTCCTTCCTCACTTACAGTGAGGCAGGGCCTGGGCTCCAATCACCTCCCACTCGCCTCTAGGCTTTAGGCCCAGCTGTGTGTAGAGTGGCAGGGAAAGGGAGCCCCAAGCTTCCACCCCACCCCAGCCCCCAACCTCTTCCCACTCTCCCCATCCGTGCTGACTGCCGCACCCTGATTACCAGGATATCCTCAGCTCTGCTGATTCCAAGCCTGCTTCTCCCAAACCAGTTCCCAGCTGTCATGTCTGTAATTACCAACCTTGCCAGGGGCATCAAACAAGCGAGCAACACCTCATTTCCAAAGGGCCCCACCATAAAGGGCCTCTGCCTCCTATTCTGTACCAAGCAAGGTAGAGGCAAGGGATGCAAAGATTCTCCCTGACCCACCACAGTTCTGTCCAGATCACAACAGAGAAGGTGGCAGAAGGCTGCCCAAGCCAGATCACCAAGAGACAGGAAAGAGAAGGAGAGGACCAGTGCTGGGCAGAGTGTAGGTAGGATTCACTCCAGGCCTTCCCTTCACCTCTGCTGCCCAGATCTCATGCACCGGCTGACCCACCTGTAGTGGCTAAGAGGAAAAGTTTCGGGTCCATTCAGAGAGAGGGGAAGTTGATGCCACGTAAAGCAGGGAGATGGCTACCCACAGGGATGGGGGTAGATGCAAGACAGGAGGGAGGTGCCAAGCAAAAGGAGAGGAAAGAACACGTTTTTAGCAGTCCCGTCCCCAGCCCAGACTCTTACTGGGCCTCTCCTCCCCTAACACCTGTACCCCCACCAACCCCACAGGACAAGGAAGGAAAGAGATGATTAACTGTGTTTTATAGGCAGGGAAACTGAGGCCAAAAGATCCAATAATACAAACGCCAGTGCTCGTTCTTGCTCACACTCAGCCTCTACTAGGAGTGCCCTCCTCAGTCCCTCCCTGTCGGCCTAACTCATCCTTTAACCAGCCAAGGTCTATCCATACCAGGGAATGCTATTCAGCCATCAAAAGGAATGAATTACCGATACATGCTACAATGCGGATTAACCTTGAAAACGCTATGCTAGGTGAAGGAAGCCAGATATAAAAGATCACACATTGTTTGATTCCATTTATATGAAATATCCAGAATAGGTAAATCCATAGAGACAGAATGCGAATTGGTGGTCGCCAGGAGCTAAGGTGGGTGGTGGGGGAATCGGGAGTGACTGCTTCATGGGTAGGGGTTTCCTTTCAGGGGGGTGCAACTGTTTCAGAATGGTGGTTGCACAATATTGGGAATGTACTAAATGCCTGTTTCACTCTAAAATGGTTTATTTTACATTATGTGAATTTCACCTTAATTTTTTTTAAAAATCTAGCTAAGGGCACATCTCCTCTAGGAACCTTCCCTGTGCCCGACCCTACGGCCAAGCTCTCTTCCTCTGTGCTCAGGTGGCCTCCTGAACACACCTCCACACAGCCGCTCACCGCGTTACAGTGAATCGACGTGTTTATGCATGTCTCCCTGTGAAAGCCTGCCTTAATACCTCTCTGGCCCCCGTGCTTCACACGGCTCCTGGCAAATAGTAGGTAGTGCCTAAGAACAAGAGCAGAACCAAAAGCCTAGCTCTCCCACCCCACTACCCAGACCTCTCTCCCTTACAACAATCCTCCATCAGAATCCAGACTAGGCCAGCTAAATGAGTGCTTCTATGTGCCAGGCACTGTGCCACATGCTGTCTCTAGATTATTCCATTTAACCCTCACAAGCCTAAACAGCAGGGCCCATTATTAATTCCATTTTACAGGTGAGGCTTCAAAAAGATACCTGTTTTGTCTGAGGTCACAGAATCAGGAAGTGGCAAAGTCAGAATTCAAGAGCAAGGGAAGGAGGCCACTGGAGGGACCAGGGGTTCCTTGTGGAAAGGCTCAGTCTGAGCTTAGAGGATGGTGCCCTAAGATACCTACGAGGCTGGGGAATGGGGTTTAATAATTCGCCCAAGGTCATACTGCTGTTAAGTACTAATTCCAGCCAACTTTCTGGCTCCCTGCTTTGGCCCCACAGTGTGGGGACCCATCCTGGGAAGAATAAGCGAAGGAGAAGACCGGAGTTCCTAAAACTCAGAGGGGATCAGGGGAGTCCCAGATCTCTTCGCTTTTCCCTCTTCGACCCAAAGCTTCTATTAGCCAAGTTCCCTACCCCCTAACTGAAGGATCTCTTGGAAACCAGATGAGTACATAAAAGCCTGTCCTGCTCTAGGACCAGAGAAGGATCTTCCTCAGACCTAGAAGGATCAGAAAGAGCAGAGGGAGACACACCAGAGGCCTGCCCCGGAAGAGTTAGAGGAAATACAAGTCAGGAGCAAGACAATGGGTGAGGAGGGGCCAGTGTGGCCACTGGCTTCCAATCTGGAAGTACTTTCAGAAATGGCACTTCCTATTGTCTGACCACAGTTCCTCCTCCTTGGAAGAGAGCCCCCACCAGTATAGTACACCATGCAAGTGAGAGTGTATACAGAGCAAACGAGGAACTCCAGAAGGCCAGGGCACAGCATCTCACGCAAGTGCCTTGCTAGCCATGGGAACCCTAACCATCAGACAGGTGTCGAGTTTGGGGGAATCATGTATTAAAAAGAAGAAAATCTGGTCTTTTCCTACTGTGCCCCTCTCCCCAATCTCAACATTTTCTAACCCTCACTACTTTTATCTCCAGGCCTTAGGAAGGGTAGGGAGCCCTGAGGACTAAAGAGGGAACATTGCAATTGCACATGCCTATTAGAGACTTTAACATTCCAATTCCAATTGCCCAGAGACCCTAATGGGCGTGTGCAATCACAGCCTCAGCTCTTACAACTCGGTGTCTCAACCCAGCCTCTGGCAGCAAGAGGAAAATGGCTGAGAGTGTGCCATGGGGAAACAAGGCTAGCATCCTAAAGAAGGACATGGCCAGCCTCTTCCCTTCGCCCTAAAAGAGAAAGGACAAGAGAGAGGAGAGGAAAGGAGGTAGCTGCTGCTTCACTGAGGAGAGAGACATCCACTTCCCAGGTAGTCACTGACTTCCCCCCTACACTGTGCTGATGATGAGTATAGCCCCAGACAGAACAGACACTCAGCCCTGGCCCCACACCCACAGCTCCATCCCAACCATGCTTCTCACCAGGGAGAAAGGAAACTGTGATCAGCCACACAGGCTAACTTGAAGAAAGTGCTGAAGAAGCACCCCCATGCCACCTTCTCAACCCCATGACGGGGAATCTAAGCTGTCCCCTACCACGTCTCATCCTTCCAGGCATGCTTCTTCCTCTTGCTTCCATCCCACACCGAAATCCCAAGACTCCTCCGGAACTTTGGGATCCTAGAGGTGGGGCAGAGTTAGCAGGCTCTAAAGCAGCAAACTCCAAAAGAGCTTTCCAAGAGAACTGTGGTCTGGGGGGGTTGAACCACAATTGGGAAACCAAGAATGGAGCCTCTCCAAGCACTAGAACCCAACCTATGATAGCTAAGGAAGAAGTTCCTCTTATTCTTCTCCCTGACTCCTCCAATCCCCCAAATTCCTCTAGGACTAAGACAAGAACCCTTATTCCCTATTCCCCACAACACACACCCTCTTCCAGAAAAACTCATCTCCCAAAATGGGCACTTCATAAGACACCTCACTCCCTCCCATCCAGAGGTCTCAGATACTTAAAGCACTCCCCAGAACCCAGGCAGGGCCATCCAAGAAGCCTCAGAATCCTGCAGACAGCCTTCCCTTTGGGCTTACTACCAGGAAAATCTGCCTGCAAAGACAAGAGGCACCCCCAAGACACACTCAGAAACACACGCACCAGCTAAGGCAGGCACACACATTGATACTTACCCATCAACACAGTTTACACACAAGAGAACACAGATTCACTCACACCCCTTCCCAGTACACAGGTGCACACACACCCATCCACATGTACCCCGTTCTGCTCTTACATACCCACCTTCCTCAGTACCTATACACCTCTTTCCCACAAACCCCTCTCCCAGTACACACACACAGACTCACACCCCTTCCCTTGAGTATACACATAAATACATATCCAAACACACAGCAGATGCATGGTCAGCTGCTTCCTGGGTGCACACACACTCTAGAACAGAAAAACACCTATACATCCAAACCTAGGGGCCCACCTGCAGGAACATGCAGCACGTAAAGGCGTGCACACACACACACAAAAACAAAGAATCATGCACACTGATCCTTCACCAACCCTTTAAAACTCACTCACGTAGAGCCCACCGTCCCCTAAATGGGTAAATATGATTGCGGAGAGGGATGCCAGCCCTATCCCCTGGGCCCCCATAAAGAGTCTACTGCCACCAACCCCAGGCGCCTAATCCCTGGGCCCCCATACACAATCTACTGCCTCCAGCCCCATCCTCCGGCTATACACACCCCCCCACTACTCTCCCCAGCCCGCTCCCCAGACCACTCTACACCCTGAACACATACCTGCCCCCTCCCTCCCCACACTCCTGAGGTGTGTATGCACCCCAGAACACCCTCGGCTTCCAATACCTCCAGACTCCGATCCTTCCACCGCCTCTCCCCCCACCTCCAACACACGCTCCCAGTCTCCGGCTTCGACCGGCTCCCCTGGGATCATTAAGGCCCCCGCCCGGCCCTGGCCCAGGAAAGTCCCCGGCTCTCCAGGCCCGGGCTCCGCCCCCTCCCCGCGCGCCCCTTCCTCTACCCAAAGTTGGGGGGGTACTCCGCTGTGCAGTGGGGGAGAGGACCGGAAGGGGGTTGCCCCGAGCCCCCCTTCCGCCATAAGCCACCCCGCTCGCTCCGGGGCCGGGCACCCCCTGGCCCCTTGCAAGATTGTCCTCCTTTTCAGTTTCTTTTTTTTTCTTTCTTTCTTTCTTTTTTTTTTTTGCAAACTTTGCCCGCGCCCCCGCGGCCCGGCACTCACCCGCCGCTGCGAACTGCCGGGTGGGCTCCGCGGGCGCCCGGCTCGGCCCGGCGCCTTTGTATCCGCAGCGCTCCGGGTCGCTCCGAACTCCGTGCTCCCGGACGGGCAGCGCGGGCGATGGGGGGTGTTAAGGGGGGCTCTTGAGTCTGGTCACCCCCTGCTCCGTCCCAGACCGCTGCCTCTTCCCCCTCAAGGCCCCGGGGGCAGGGGGCCAGGGGGGAATAGGGGGCGCTCAGGCTCCCATGGCGGGACCAAGGATCAAGGAATCAGGGATCAGGAATCAGATCGGGAGCCGGCGGCCGAGGGGGGAGGGGGCGGAGGGGGAGGGGATGAGAGTGGGGGGTGCAGGGGGCGGGGGACGCGCGCTCCCGGGTGCCGCCTCCCGGCTGTTCCCGCAGCCGCCGCCCCTCCTGCCGCGGCGTCCATTGTCTGCGGCCCCGCTCTTCCCAGAGTCGCTGCTCCCCCAGCCCTTCGCCTGCAGATGCCCGGCTGCCCTCCCCGATCCTGGGAATCAGCGGTGGCGCTGCGACCCCGGCCCCGAACGGTGGGCAGGGGGCTGCTCGAGTCTTGGCCTTGGTCCAGCCCTCAGCCCCTCTTGGGGCTGTCTTCCTCGACCCTCCTGTCAGGGACGGAGCCCCCAGACCCCCGGGGCTGGCCATAGTCTCTCCTTTGGGCCACAGACCCGGCTACACAAAATCCAATGAAATCTGAGACGTGGGAAGGTTGATTTCTCTTCCCTAGGGCTACAAGAAGGGAGTGTCATCCCCGATTTTAATTAGTGGCGAGAGACGCTCCCCTGCATATCGGGATTTCCCTGACACCATCACCACCATATCCCCCCTTCCAAAAATAATTTAATTACTCCGTGTTCTAGCTGCGAGCAGCGACCGCCCCAGTCAGTCTGGGACGCTCCCTCATTAACACGTTTTTCCTCCCCTCTGGTTTGAGTGTTGGGATTAATTACAAAGGGAACCCTGCCCTGGGGGAGCGGGGGAGGAGGAGGTGACTACGGTGCCAGGGAGTTTGGATGGCGGAGGAGAGGGGGCCTTATCCCAGGAAACCTTCCAAGAGTAAAAATACCTTGGCCAGTCGGGTCCCTAACCCCAAGCCAGGCAGGTCTCTCCGCCCCAGGAGTTTCGGATACTTTAGGGTTGAAAGTACTACACTGGGATTGTAGGGTCTCACAAAATATCTGACACAATTGGAGCATTTCTGCCTCGGAGCACGCCAAGAAACCAGTTAGGGTTCAAGAAGTGGGACGATAGATCTGACCCCACCAATAGTGACCCCTCCATAAAAGCCTGGACTGCGAGAAGTCCACGTTTCCCGTGGCGTGAGTGAAAGCAGAAGTATTATATTATCATTAGTGTTATTGCTGTGCAAGCCAACGCTTATTTAGAATAGTATTAATTGAAAAGCATCTTCACATACTTCTCCCCAAGCAGGGCAAGGCCCTTTCGACATCTAAACCTCCTCCAGCTCCCCATCCTGGTACCTGCTCTCCCAACACTGTGATTAAGAAATCCCAGAGAAGGAGACTTCCAGCCTCTGTTTCTCACTTGTGTGGGGATTTTTGCTCCTCCCTGATGAAAGTTTTTCTCTGAGACCTAATCTCACCCCTTTTGGTGGTCTATTCTAACCTGTCCAAAGATCAGGACGGAGCCACCTTTGCCTGCATTGTTCAAAGACGGAGAATATTAAGAAACACTTCCTTTCTCCTTCCTCCCAACCCTGCCTCTCCTCATCCCCTCTTTCCATAGTATGGGCCAGCGAGTGACTCAGCACCAAGACTGCATGAAAAATGCAGAATCATTTCAGGTGCCCAAGTCCCTGCACACAACCATGCACTCAGTCGCCTTGTGCCTATCATGTGCAGGCACTGGGCTGCACTGGGGGCCCTGACAGTGACTACAAATAGGCGTATGAGAGACAAGTGGCAGGAGATCTGCAGAAGGGTGAGGGAGGTAGGAAGGGCCTAGGGTGTCCCAGCCCTGTCCAAGAGCAGTGTGGCAGCAACGGTATAATTTGACACAATATTGGGACTGCCATGGCACTGCTGTCTGACTCTCCAGCAGGTTTTAGTGTGAATGATGTTCACCTGCTGCCAGCCTGTTTCACAAACCTCAAAGGGGTCCAAAGAATCAAAAAGGGCTTCTGAGGCCATAATGACAGAGACTTCTGTAGACTGACCCCACCTAAAGCTTGAAACCTAGGTCAGGATTTCAACAGATGAGGATTCAGGATTGACAGATATCAAGCATCGGGCTGGAATAAGCTTGGTCCCTCCTTTCTCTTCTCTGAGGGTGAGATTGGGGGCTTTCAATTACATCTCTGCAGTGAAAACACTAGGTTACAGAGAAGAGGCCCAACAGTAGATTTAATCGGGGTGATGTATCCCATCCAGCAATTCTCTGGACTACCCTCTACCCTCGCGCCTACGATAGAAACCCATCTGGATTTCACACATCCTCAATTCACAGAGTGAGGAAACAGAGACCCAAATATTAATAGAAGGCCCATGTGCCCTACAGTACAAGGGATCTGGCCTAATTTTGTTTTGGAGGAAGGAGAGCACTGAGGTGACTTTCAACTGAGATTTTCCCAAAGGGGCCAACTTAGAGCGACAGAGGGAGCCAGGAGCCTGAAGGACAGCGAGTGGAGCAGATTGGACTTCACACAGCTCCTATCCTCGAGGACATAGGCAAGTTTCCTAATTTCTTCAAGCCTCAATTTCTGTTTATATAAAAGAGACTAATGAGGTCACAGAAGGAACCCCTCTACATACCCATAGTACCACAGTCAAGCCCCAAACAAGCTTCCCCTCTCTGTTATATGCCTGGGGTACTCCCACTTCTTTCGGGAGTCCTGCTCAGGGAAGGAGGCTGCTAGTCAAAAAGCCAGGGCCCTCAGTTAGAGCCCTTTCAACTCCTCACCAGCTCATGGGCCTAGGCAGCAGGGGTAGGGCAGGGAGACTGGAGGCCTCTCAGGAGCCCTGAGAAGTTGAGTCTCCTGGGGAAGATGCACGGAGCTCAAGAAGTGGCAGTGGACCTTCTCCAAGGGAAGGCCCAAGCTCCAGAGAAGTGCCTGCTTCCTGTGTGGACGAAGCTGTCCCTGGAGGTCAGGCCTGGACCACAATAGCAAAGGTTAGGTTTTCTGCTCTGGTGAAAAGTAGAGCCTTTTTACAGCACTGCGCTGGGAAAGGGGAATCCATAGTAACCTGCTCATAGAAGCTCCACACCTTAGCAGGATGGCCATCAAAGTGTTTCGATGTGGGCAATTAGCAATTTCAGCCACCTCCCAGGTACAGGTGAGCACAGTACGGTACCCACATGGCAGACCACAACCACCACCTTCCTGCAGGCCTGCAGAGGAACCTGGGATAATTCAGCCTCCCAGGATAATTAAAGCTCTTTCCCCAGCACCCACCTTCCTAGAAAGGCTACTCTTACTGCTTACAAAAGTATTTCCAGACCCAGTCTCTACTGTGAAATTGCTGGGTTTAGTGAGGTTTTTTTCCTCACTTTTATTGGAAAAGGAAGAAAAATAGCCAAAAAAAAAGTCACTGGTCAAGAACTCCGCAATGTCATAGGGCTGTTGTGAGGTGTCTCTCACAGAAGATCGTGATCTCTGAGAACAAGGATGGAGCCTCATTCATTTCTATATCTCTGGTACATAAAAGTCACAGTTAGCATTAGTTAGTTCCCTTCCCTTCTAAATTCCTTCTCTTTCCTCAGTCCTCGTCTGTCCCAAACCTTGACCACTCCCTATTCACCCAGCCTTTGTTACGTGTGAGTTTCCTCAAATCCATTCCCATTATCACCAATCTAAAAAGTTACCTACAATTAAACCAGTGGTTCTGAACCTAGACTGCAGATTTTAATCACCTGGGAAGCTTTGAAAACATACCAATACCCTGGACCCATCCCAGACGAATTAAACCAGAAGCTTTCAAGGTGCAGCCCAGCTATTGGCATTTTTTTTTTTTTTTTTTGGCATTAGAATCCTCAGGGATTCTAATGTGAGAACCACCGAATTAAACTCTTTCTGATTTCTTTCCTCACTTGTTGGAAGAATAAATGATCCCCCCACCTCTCTTGCGTAGGACTAATCCCTCCAGGTATGCATTATGTCCTGTCCTTTCCTACCTCCATCCATTATCCCTGTCTCTCCTGTATCTAACCTTTGACCTCTTCACTCATCTTCACCTAGCAGACACAACAAAATAGGATACCTCCCTCCACTCTGCAACCTGCTCTTGCTTCAGCCCTCTCTTTCCTTTCCTTCTCATCCAACCTTCTTAGAAGAGTAGATTCTTCACCAACATCCTTCCTCCTCCCTTCAGTCCTCAGCTCCTTGCAACCCAGCCACCTTCTCAATGTCTTTCCTCCACCTGAGTTCAAATACTGATGTTGCCCAGAATTCAGCCTTTGGCCCCTTCGCTCCCCACTCTACACGCTTTCCCAAAGCAATGCCATTCACTCCTGTGGCTCCAGTCAGGGCTTACTTAGTAATGCTTCTTAATCCAGGTCTCTCTTCTGAGCATGAGACTTATATTTCCAACTTCCTACCAGATATTTTAACTCAGCTATTCCTTGGGTACCTTAAATGTTATAAGTTTAGAAAGAACACATTATCTTCCTTCTGCCTCTATCCCCTTGGCTTATGCACACCTTTATCACTTCCGAACTTGTCTCATTCCCTTCCAAATCATCCTCCTCCCTGTTGCCAATGTGATTGTTCTGAAAGAGGAATCGGCCTGTCACTCCCTTGCCTAAAACAATCCAATGGCTTCCCACAGTCTGCAAGAGGAAGTCAAAACTTCTTGGTGCTGCATGCAATGACCTTCAGTACCTGGCTCACTCTCCTCCTCCAGCCTTATCTGCCGTTGCTCCCTGTGCATTCAAAGCCCAAACAGTGAACACACTAATTCCAAACTGTACCCGACTACTCATTGTTCTGCCAACTTGGGGTTCTTATTACTCCTCTGCCATCACACGGTGTTTCCTTTGCATGAAACGCTCCCTATGTCTTTTCTGCTTGGAAAATTCTGTTCATCCTTCAAGATTCCTGTGTCTGTGGCCTCCTCTGCGACTCTT